TTTAACTAAATGAATATTGCTTGTTCCACAGCTATCCATAATTGAACCATGTTCATATTTTTTAACTGAATAAAATGAACAGATTCATGCTGATTGCTCTAAGCAATTTGAATAAATACATTATTTAAATTAAATCAGATGCAAAGTTAATAATAAACTATGCATGATTTTTGAGTGTAGAAATCATACCTGTTTATTATCGGTTATTGTTATTGTATAATATTGTTCATGTTAAAACAGTGTAATTGATGGAAATTTTATTTGTAATTCAAATATATAAATCTTAAATTTAATAGCGATCGTCCATCCAGATGTTTTCCCACCTTCGGGCCGAGATGCTGGGATAGACTCCAGCACTTAGGACAGTTATGTTAGGACCCTATAGGACAGGGGGGATGGAGTTCATAAAATATTTAGTTTGACCTCCTAAGATGTGGTAGAAGAAATATTTATGAAACATATGCACCACCTTGCTTTCACTAATTTTGCTCACAATTCACCCTTTTCTTAGAAAGTGCCTTTTAGCAAAAACCCTGATTTTGTGTAAAAAAAAAAAAAAAAAAAAAATCAATCACATCCAGGAAGACTAAAGTGTACTCCAGTCTAACAGGGTACAGCTATTCATTGCGTAAAAATAAGATGGCTCGAACAAAACCATGTTCTTCATCTGAACTCAAAGGGTCTCCTCTGTGAATGTGATGAATGCAGCTTGTCTTGAGCTTTAAAACAAAATTGAAGTGTAATGTGGAGAGAGAGAGAGAGAGAGAGAGAGAGAGAGAGAGAGAGAGAGAGAGAGAGAGAGAGAGAGAGAGAGAGAGAGAGAGAGAGAGAGAGAGAGAGAGAGAGAGAGAGAGAGAGAGAGAGAGAGAGAGAGAGAGAGAGAGAGGGGGGGGGAATAAGGAAGAATAAGGAACTAATGGTTTCGGGGGAAGTATATGTGAATCAATAATTCAATATGAGTTCCTGTTATTGCCAACATGATGCAACAGGTTCACAACACACAGTCATGGAGAGTTATGTACATATTACTGTGTTCATTAACACTTTAATCAATAGATTCTCTCAATATAACCTGTTATCGTCAGCTGGTCATACAATGGTTGATCCAGTACCTTGCATTTCCTGTGGAAAATCAAATAGAAATATTTCGGCTGAAAATATATACGTTTTCCAAAAATATACATAGCCTAATTAAAGTTTTAGCATGATGGAAAATAATCATGTATGATTTTCAGAACAATGACACAGAAATTGTTATAGCAAGGTTTATAGTCAAATTCTGTATTGGTGTTGTTGTTGTTGTTTTGGGCAAATACTTGCAATCTCATGTGAGAGCCAGTAGATGTCAGTCTTTAGCTTAGAATGAGAGAGTCCTGGAACACTTTAGTGATTCCTGAGTGAGTGAAAGGTTTTATCTACCGTTTTCTTTTGTTTCTATAATGGAAAAGCTTCAATTTTAGAATTTAAAATCTACCATTTCAGTGTAAATTTCATAAAAGTTGCTGCCTTAAATTTCTAAGTAGAATCAACTTGGGTGTTTAAGTCATTTCAACTTAAATTACATTAAACTGACTTTGTTTTAAACTGATTCAAAAAAATTGTTGAATCTTGTATAACTCATAAAAGTTGAAATTGGCTTAACTTATTTTGGTGAGTTAAAGCAATGTAAAAACATATGTTGTCAACTTATTGATCATATATATTTTTTACAGTGTACTGTGATGAGTTCATTTGAAAAAAGTTGAAGTAAAGGAAAAGTAGTTGTTGTAGTTATAATACAATTTATTCTCAGCATCTCTCACAATAAATATATTAGCATACAGTACAGGTCAAAAGTTTGGAAACATTACTATTTTTAATGTTTTTGAAAGAAGTCTCTTATGTTCATCAAGCCTTGTTTGACAACAAAAACAGTAATATTGTGAAATGTTATTACAATTTTAAATAATGTTTTTCTGTTTGAATATGCTTTTAAAAAATAATGTTTTTCTGTTTGAATATGCTTTTAAAAATAATTTATTTCTGTGACGCAAAGCTGAATTTTCAGCATTATTCCTCCAGTGTCACGTGATCCTTCAGAAATCATTCTAATATGCTGATTTGTATGCTGATGCAAACTAAACCTTATTGTAAAGTGTTACTCAACATTTTTGTAATTTAATTAACTAAAAAAAAAATCAAACAAGCGAGAAACAATCTTTTAGTGAAAATCAAAAAAAACAAATGTTGATTTAATTGTATATGCTGCATGACCTGGAATAAGAGCTAGAAATACTAAAATCAGTGTAATATATTGCACTATATTACAAGTCTTCTTAAGTTTTGTAATAAAGGAGCTTTGCTTTGTTAGCTCTGTATGATGAACAAACTGAAATTTAAATTATTCAGTGATTAATAATTGAAATGGGGGTCCAGAACTTACTGAGCAAACATGGCAGATTTCAAAACCTGTTGTCTTATCTTTCATTTAGTATATTTATTAATTAATTAATTCATTTAGTTTGTTTGTTTACTTATTTAGATGAAATATTCCTTCGATGTCCACATAATTTGATCGTTTTGCATACTGGCCCCAAACTAATGAGATGAATTAACATAAAGATAATGTGCTCTGACTGTGAAGAGGTGGAAGAGCTGCTCTCCACTTTAAGATGTCTGCTAGGCAACTAAATGTTAATTACTTTTATGGGCAATCATTGCAATGATAATACTGCTGATATCACTCAAAGATGATTGTTTTCAAGTACCTGCTTCATTTTGAGTGCTAAGAGACGCTGAGAGAGAACGGATGGAGATAAAGCAACATCCTGAACAATAGCAGGCACACTCTTATAAATAAGATTATCTAGATAAAATGAATAGTTTAATGTAAAAAAAAAAAAGACATAATATAGTTACCGTAATAGTAACAATAGATTTTTTTACATTTTCCGAAGAAAATGTGAGTGCTTGCCACCATGATGCTAGGGTGTTGTAGGTGGTTGCCAGGGTGTTGCTATCTTATCTAGAGGACTATGATTCATCACAGCTGCTTGCTATATATATATATTTGGATGACTAGTAATTTCCTACTACTTAACTCTGAAAAAACAGAGATTCTAATTATTGGCCAAAAAACGTCCTCACTTAATAATCTAGAATACTGTCTAACACTTGATGGCTGCTCTGTCAAGTCGTCGTCGTCGTCGGTTAGGAACCTGAGTCTGCTCTTTGATACCAATCTTTCATTTGAAAGTCACGTTTCTAGCATCTGTAAAACCGTATCCTTCCATTTTAAAAATATATCTAAATGAAGACATATGCTTTCAATGAAAAATGCGGAACAGTTAGTTCATGAGTTCATGACCTCAACAACAACGCCTGAAGTGCCAGTCTCATCAGCCCTGTGAAGGCCTCATGGACACCTCAACAAACTCGTCTCCATATACCGGCGTGATGACTCCGACCCCCAACCAGATGGGACTGGATAAATATTGTGAATGTCCTGATCCAATCTGACTTCTGATCTGTAATGTTTCCTGAATCATAATCATACACTGTTCGTTCGTTGGCCAGAGGAGAACTGGCCCCCGACTGAGCCTGGTTTCTCCCAAGGTTTTTTTCTCCATTCTGTCACCTAATGGAGTTTGAGTTCCTTACCACCGTCGCCTTGGCTTTTGGCTTGCTTAGTTGGGGACATTTAATATTCAACAATATTATTGATCTGCCTTACTTCAGGTGGACGATGACGCAATTTTCTTCTAGAAACAAACTTGTATTATTTTCAGGTTACCACTTTGAAGCTGCTTTGATACACTCTGTATTGTAAAAAGTGCTATGACTTGACTTGACTTGACTAAACCCTGACACGCTATGATGATAGAAGTGTCAGACATGGTATTTAAATGTTTACCAGTGTCATATGAAACACCAGGGCAGGCCGTATCTCTCAGTGATGGATGCTCCATGATCTCAGAACACGGAGAAGAGAGAGGATCCTTCAGAAGAAGCGCATCAGGGTTCTGAGAGAATAGAGAACATCTGAAGTGCATTTAGTGTATTTCTCTTGTCTCTCACTGTGAGTGTTACTGAGAATACAATGTGATGGCGTCTCAAACCGTAGTGCATCATTCCTTCTCAAGGATCTCATGGGAAACACTGCACCCCCGCAGAGAGCTTCTTTTAGAAACACCTTGGCTTTGATTCAATAAAGATTATGCTAAATAATGTGTTAATGTGTCACATTTGATATCCACATCCAAGTAGTTCGTCTTAAAGGGATTTCACTAAAATAAAAAGTATATAGCTACTCTTCACCCTGTAAACAGCATGCTTCCATTGTGAGTCAAGTTATTTTTTTCCTATACACTCTTAAGAAAAATGGTTCTAAACAGTACCAAATTAGGGTTCTTCGGCTTGTAACAATAGCAGAACCCTTTTTGGTGCTTAAGTAGAACCCTTTTTATAAGGTTCCATAAAGAACCATGCTTTGAAAGTGCTATAGGACCTTAATGGTGTTATAAATAACCTTTTCAACAATATTTATTTTCATTAATATTAGTATATTCACATTATTATTATTACTATTATTAACATTCTTTTATATATTATGTATTAATATAGTTTTTTAGTCCTCTGCCTGGTCTTTTATCTTGTTGCCTCTATTTGGGTTTTTCATTTAAAAAATAAATCAGCATGTTGTGTCAACTGGTACTTTTATGTATTAGCAAAAATGACAGTGCTCTAATAACAATTGTTAGCTGAATACATTAATTAATAACAATTAACATAGATATAGATGGCACGGTAGGGTTTAAAATGTATCTGTTAAATTATTATTATTATTATTAAAAATAATTAAAAAGACGAAATCCCTTTATAATAGTTGGCCCATCGGTAGTAATTGTATAATTCGGACGGTGTGTAGTGTACATTCACAGGCTGCCGGCTGAGAGTGCTATAGTATAGGCAGCGCTTACATCTTCCGTGCCATAGGCGGATATAAGCCTCTCGGGTGATGATACACACTCTGCAGGGAGAGGATTTTTTTTTTCGACGAGGAAAACACTCTCTGTCAAATCGTCACATGGGGTCAATCGCTTCCTGCATCGCGACTGAACTACTTCGTTTTTGCCGCTTGGATCGTGTAGTGTTATTATATCGTTAAGATCGCCGTTCCTCGCGCGCCGCTGATGTCACATATTTCATTGCGATGATAAGCAAAGTTAAAAATGCCATGTCCTCGCTGGTGGGCGGAATTATCCCGCACGGCCACCACCACCAGCACCATCAGCAGCAACAGCACGGATCCGCGCAGAACGGCGGCACGGACGGGCTCCCGCCGCGCTTCCCCTACAGCCGCCCCGAGTTTCTGGACCTGACCCCGGAGCTGCTGCAGTACTCCACCGAACACGCGTCCAGACCGGTCGTCACGCTCAAGAGAGACAGCAGGCTGCAGTGGCGAACGGGATACGCGGAGTGAGTCGTGTTTTTGTATGTCTAAGATGCGCATAATATGAATTGTTGGTTTAAAATGATACGGTTGAAGTGACGTCATTACTGAGGAAGGTTATATGTCACACCTAACCAAGGGCAATGGCTCATCATCATCATCATCATCCTCCTCTAAGCGCTCGTCTAGAGTCAGCTGGAATGTTGGAATGTTTTCACTGAAATGTGTTGTAACTGCACTGATGATGACGCAGCTTACAGTTCACATGAATGAATCATTGCATTTGAATATAAAAATGCAGCATATGTCAGGTTATACACATATAGCTTTACTAATGGATATCCTATAGTAGTCATTGAATGCATCTTTACCACAGTACAGTGAGTACTTTTTTACCACAGGACAGTGTATTCTCGCTACCTGTGCATCTGAGACAACATACGGCTTTAAAAACCTGCAGCTACCTGATTTCCAGGCCTAAAAGAGTCATGAAAATGTATGAGAACATAAAGGAATTTCTCTAGTTAATGCTCAGCTTCAGGGCTGCTGTCATGGGAGACACCTGGGAACATTGTCCTGAGCTCCAGTGATGCATTAGGGCATCATATTGGTGCATTCAAGTCATGTCCGAATGATGGTATATTTAAAGGGATAGTTCACCCAAAAATGATAAGTAGATATTTTGAAGAATGTAGGTAACCAAACAGTTGACAGTGGCCATTGACTTCCATAGTATGGAGGGAAAAGAATACAATGGAAGTCAATGGCTACCGTCAACTGTTTGGTTACCCACATTCTTCAAATAGATTATCTTCTGTTTAGCAGAAGAAGAAATAAATTCATACAGGTTTGGAACAACTTGAGGATGAGTAAATGTTGTGGGTGAGAATTTTCATTTTTGGTTGAACTATCCCTTTGAGAGTTAAGTTTGTTTAAAGTCGTAATTTCCAGGGGGGATCTTATAGGACTTATGACTTTCACAGTTGGTGGCATTAAAAACATCAAGTTAATAAGTAATTGTGAATGTTACCTATCCACTCTTTACCTATGTTTGCTGTAAAATAAACCCTAATCTTATGGTAATCTTATAAGATTTTATAATCTATTTGATCAATTTTTTTTTAGATTTATTATACATTTTAGGTTTTATTAATATTTTATAATAAAAATTTAAATAATAATGAATTAAATATAAACAAAACAAAAATACAAATACAAAATAAATAATTAAATATTTAAACAAAAATGTTGCAGTAACATCACACATTGGTACAGGTGAAGGATGTTAGTGATGGGTGATAAAGGACTTTTTTAATAAAACATTTCTGGTAAAAATACAACTGCATTATCAGTGTATACATTTTAGGAACTGGAGCGTATTTTATTTAGTAAAATTCATTATTTACAAAGCAAATAGAAAAGTCATGGAAATGTATTGGTAAAAAGCGATGAGAATCCTGATTTTCATCAGGCGTGATCTGTTGAGTGAAGATCAAGACCATACTTGCACTAAGTGGCCCAAGATCAAAGCCAGTGAGATGATGCAGTCTGAAGTCATGCCCTCAAATTAATGATTATAATGTTAGGTGGTTTGGGATAAATTTTCATATTTCTGTGACTCAGATCTATAGAGAGCCCAGTGTGAAGAAGAGTTAGAGAGAAAACAGGCCCTGATACTAAAATATGCCCAGTTAGCCTCTGGTTATTTCATCTATTATTAACTACAGTACAAGAGGAGAACTTTGTCTGGGGCTGCGTGATGACAGCATTTGAAACTGAGCATATTCTCTTAAGTGTGGAAACAAAAATACTTTTTAGCGGTTAGCTTTAGCACGTGCTCACATACACAGGCTAACAAACAGGTAAACGCTTTTATAGTCCTTAATTTTCAACAAGTCAACATGAACTAGTCTTCACTATCCTTTTTACTTCTAACGTGATGTAATGAGTAAAATGTGCTACTAGAAAAACACAAAAAGAGAAGATTGTATAGTTGCTGTTTTCCATGCAATTACAGGTAATTGAAGACTAAAGCTTTCAAGCTGTGAGGAGGATGCAAAAGCCCCATACAAGTATTATGGAGGTGTTCCATATGTCGTGTGTGATATGTTCTGAAGACAGACCAAATACACCAAAATTGAAGTTAATCTTCATTGATAATCTTTTCCTGCAGCGAGGTGTTAACCAGATCATTGAATCATGGAGCCATATCAGTTTGATTCATAAATTAATAATTTAAATAGGTTTTATAAACTGGAACAACCGATTCTTTAGATTCAAAATAGTCAAAATAAGGTTCCCAGTAAGGCTTCAGACGACTACGGCACACAAGAATATTTTAGAATACATTTAAAGTGCTTTATTGAAATTGCATGGAAAAAGCGGCCAGCACAATTCTTCAGAATGTTTCCTTGTCTTCCTGCTCTGGCCGGTTGCATAAAACGCTTAGACTAGTCTTACAAGTTAGTCATCTAATTTTCTTTAGTCTTTGAGACAGGTCATAATTTTAAGTCAGTTACATTTGAATCCGAAAAATATGACTGATTACAGCTAACTTCTAGTTGATCAGACTAGTTCTTGATACACAGTCTTAAGGGACAGTTCTTGCAAAAATAAAGATTGTGTCATTAATTACTCATTTATCCAATCACATCATTATCATTATTCATGTGCCCTCATAACCTTTAATCAAAAGAACTTCCCCTCCCACTTGCATCTCTTCTCTGATGACGTGTTTATTGGCGTGAGGGCGGGGCAACCTGTCACTCACATAAGATCGACCAATAGCAAACCGCAACCATGGTCCGCAACCAATTCCCCATGGTCAAAATCAAGTCCCACCCTACATTTTTTTTCTTGTACAAGATGCCATTTTACTTGTATATACATGACAATAAGAAAGAAAAGATGATCATAATTTCTGTTTCATGTTGACTTTAAAACTCTCAAAGACACATTGTTGGCTGTAGATTAATGGCAGCTATAGACTCTTCAGATTCACACTCATTCTCTAAGATATTACTGAGTCATCCACTGTGGCTCATGGAGATTGGCTTTCTATGAACATGGTGCTGCCAAGCTGGCAAAGTCAAGCAGATCCAGCATTCACCCACGCCACAATAGATGAATTCCTGTCAATACATGTATGAGTGCAAGTGAACTATAATTATTGGTTCTCTGCAGGGATAGGTCGACTCGACACTAGTCATTTTTTAGTCGCCCAACAACCAGCAAGTCTGTTAGTGAGTTCGACTTCATCTAGATTTTTTCTAGATGAACTACCGGTAGTCATGTTTCGATATCTTGGATACGTTTCGATATCTTGGGTGACTGCTTTAATTAGCATGCTGACACTGCACTTTGCCTAATTTGTACGGTAAAACCTAGTCAATAAAAAAAAATGCACTTTTGCATTAAGAATTTCATTGTCATTTCAGTTTGACCTAAACAGTTTGTGTGGCACATTAACATTTCTGTGTGGATATTGAAGGATGGGTCGGTGCAAACAATATTAATCAGTCAAAAAGGATACTAATTTATTTCTTTGCTTTTCATATTTTTTAATCTACTTGACAACTAAGACAGGAGGCACAATTCAAGATAAACAGTGCCATAAAAAGTGCCCATTTATTCTCTATTATTAAGCACAGTGGGTGGAGGTGAAGAATTGCTCATCAGGTTTTTTGAGTTATACAGTATTGAAACTGCATCTCTCTTCTGAGCTCACAGGAATGCTAAGATACAGCTATACGCATTTATAAATGCAAATATTAATATTTTCTTAAAAAGGTTATTGCTTGAGGAAGGATATTGCCAGTGTAGCCTATGTTTTAAACTTAGTTTGATCAATCTAGGGCTCAGAACATGATTGTAACATGAAATGGACATTTGAATGTCTTCACTTGAAGACATTATGTTTAGTCTAGCCTGAAGCACTGCATTAATAAAACTCTTCTCAGATTTTCAGATCAATGATGTGAAACTTAATTGTTTTCGCATTAAGAGTTTACTAATCTAGTGCACACCATCCAGCGTCAGTTTTTTAAATGCCATGTGATTAATCACTCAGTAAAATGATAAAATATTCACTGGCAAAACAGCTTATGAAATATTATGAAGTAAATGAAATATTTTTTTGGAATACACAGGCAATGAAGGGAAACGCTTTTTTCCCTACAGAATGGTGTAGTTCTGGTCTAGCTAATCAGCCAAACCTTGACCCTAAAATGTTTTGCACAAACTGTTAACATCAGGCTGAAATAATCAAGAACATTGTTAAAAATAACTTCAGCCCCTCTTTTCTAATGTTGCATTTGGGATTTTTCAGAAGGATAAATAAAATGACAGAGGGTCTTAGCATGACTGTTCTGCTCAAAAAAGAAAACTATTGTCAGTTAACCAGTCACCTGAGACAGGAAATGCTAGCCACTTTTATTTTTGGTCTGGGAGAATAACACTAGTGGTGGTAAGCCTTGCTAATAAAGGGTTGTTTTGTGACTTCAGCTCATTACTCTACTCTGTATTTTCCACAGATAATGAAGTTAGTTCTGCTTCCTTTTTCTTTTGCATCCACAATGGTTGTGCTTCTCTTGAAAAGCAAAATTTTCCATTTAATGTGTGTTACTTTCATTTAAAGAAATCACACTATGTTGAAACCTAATGTGGCAGAAGTAAAGTAAAGACATTGTAACTTCAGAAGAAGGAACTTGAGTTGCTACAATGAGACACTTCCTCTTTTGAGAGTAGCTACCGTGGGGCTTTGTCAGCTGATTCTAAACGAAAACCGCAGTATAAAGAAAAAAATATATGTGTATAGCATAATGATGTACTATTATGCTTGGATTATTATTATGGGTATATTGCTTAAAAATCTTTTGAAGTAGTATGTCTCCAACATCCCGATTTTAAGTATGCATAAAGTAAGTTGGTTGAAATGCATCTTTGCTACCATTTTTTCTCTTAAAGGGATACTCCACCGTTGTTTCATATTAAACTATGTTATTCCCTTAACTAAGACGAGTTGATACATACCTCTCTCGTCTCAGTGCGTGCACTCAATCGCTCTGGCGCGCGAGACACTTTGATAGCACTTAGCTTAGCCCAGTTCATTCATTAGGATCCAAGCAGAGAAGCGACCAAACACCTCCACGTTTTCCCATGTCTCTGCCATTATCCATAATAAAGGCTAGATGTCTCGTCCGCGCTGCTGGCCAATGGAGGTCGACGTCCGCACCTGGCGGCCATCTTGTCACAGGCAGCTCGCTCACTCCTAACATTGTGTTTTAATGGTGCATGTACTTTTTAAATAACCATAACTTGCTCAATTTTCTACCGATTTTCAAACGGTTTGGTTTGTTATAAACGTCAGAGATGTAGTTAAGACACTGCATACTTATGAATAATAAGTGTATAAATAAATAATCATCCAGAATTATAGCCATGTTAATAACATTTATAAGAAACCAAACCGTTTGTAAATCCGTCAATATTTCAACGAGATAAGAGTATTTGTGTTCGTGCTGATCACTCATCTTACATCAGGTACCACAGAGCCCGCCAGAAAGCTTGCCTGTGACAAGATGGCTGCCGGTGATGACGATAGAGACTCCGCCGAAAGACATCAAGCCTTTACAGTGGATATCTATGGTCTCTGCCATAGACTGGTCTCTGCACTCACAGCCTGATAACCCTTTGAAGCTGTTATATTAAGGTACAAATCTTGCATAGGGTGCATTTTTTGCATTAAATAAGAGATCTAGCGCAAAAATTGTGTTTTTGAACTCAAGCTGAGCGCTCGTGTCCGCTGCTATCAGTGTCATGGATACATAGTGTCTCTTGTGACGCCGCGCACGCAGTCTTCACTCGGACGCGCGCTTCAATCTATCGCAGTTGCGGAGACTCTATTCATTCCGGTGAAATCACAAAATAAAATGCACAAAAACGTGTCCCTGCTTGACTGTAACCACTGATGAACATATTCAGTTTTGATGAGAGAGAAAAAACTTAGAACCTGTAACCTCTGACACACTTGGCAAAAGATCTACCACTAGACCATTAAAGAACTCAAACAAAACTTGCGGATCGATGCATTTATTTACGGGTTGAGCAGAGAGGCTCATTCTCTTTTCCTTTTCCTAGTCTCTTCCGACCGCGTTTTCTCTGCTTTTTCCATCGTCGAGTATCACGTCTGAAATGCGTGCAAGTGTCTTCGTGCTTCATGTTGTGGTTGATGTGTGTGACGTCATTGCCGTAAAAGCATGTCGTGATTCTCGCGAGATGGGGGCGCTCCTCTCAAACTTGCATTGCTGGTTTTTCCAGCAGCGTCCACCCCCCCCCCCCCCCCCCCCCCACCCCCCCCCCACCCCACCCCCCCCCCCCCCAGGATGATTTGCCCCACTATGAGTTTGTTTACCACCTAAATGACTTTGAAGCTGTTATATTAAGGTACAATTCTTGCATAGTGTGCCTTTAAAATGGGCATATACACTACCGTTCAAAAGTTATAGTATTAAATATTATTCCAGTGTAAATCAGCTGTTTTCTGTGTGAATATATAGTAAAGTGTAATTTATTCCTGTGATCAAAGCTGAATTTTCAGCATCACCAGTGTCAGTGTCTTCAGTGTCAAATGATCCTTCACAAATCAGTATAATATGAGGATTTGTTGCTCAAGAAACATTTATTATTATTATCAATGTTGAAACAGTTGTTGGTCTGTCAGTTGTACAGTTTTTTTTTTTTTTTTGGGATTCTTTGATGAATAGGAAGTTCAAAAGAACAGCATTTGTTTGAAATAGAATCTTTTGTAACATTATAAATGTCTTTACTGTCCTTGATAAATAAAAGTATTGATTTCTTTCCTCCAAAAAATAAAAATAAAATTCTCACTGACCCCAAACTTTTGAACGGTAGTGTATATATATATATATATATATATAGAGAGAGAGAGAGAGAGAGAGAGAGAGAGAGAGAGAGAGAGAGAGAGAGAGAGAGAGTATAATTCGACAGACAAATGTACATAATTATAAATAAAAGACTTGCTTGTTTCCTGTACAGTTTCTGATGTTCTCAGAGTTTAAATAATTTTTTTTTTTTTTTTTTAAGTGCGTAGGGATGTGTAGAAGAAATATTGAATAAGGGTCACAAACTTTTGAAGACAAACCCCTAACATTTATATAAATATCTCATCAGATCTGCTGGGTCATGACTGTGGCCTCTGAAGCATCTTACTGCTCTCAGCAGATTAGGAAGAGTATGGCTTTTTATAATCCAGATTTGGGAAATAATGGCTTTATGTTTCTCTTCATGTTAGACTGCCATCATACTAGAAATGATATTTAGCTGTATAATAGGTGGTGTACACACACATATTCTTTTTTTTAATTTAGGAACATAAATAAATGACACCCAATGATTTTGTCTCTCTCTCAGGGTGATAAATGCTGGGAAGAGTATGCTGAATGAAGACCAGGCTTCCTGTGAGCTGATGTATGTCAAGAAGATGAGTAGCAAGCATCAGCGCAGCTCCATGTTACTGGAGGAGGGTGGGGTAAGTTGGTCTACGACACAACAACCTGAGGACGCAGCCAAACAGTTTTGTGGCTGTGTCACTGTCATCATTATTTATTTGGATCAAAAAATTGCGTTTGAATACTGCAAGATACATTCTAATGCCAAACTCTATTAAAATCAATAGTGAGGTCTCCAGTGCGCTTCAATTCTTGGTATCAATACTTATGAACATCTATATAAAAAAGATCCCTGATCTACTTTTGCAACGCAGTTGTTGTGGATCAATTGAACTGGACAAAACTGGTCTCAGGTAAGATTATGAAAGATTTAGCTTGCTGAGGGGCGCTCAGCTCGCTGACCCTGGTGATCCCATTGAGCTCTGGCATCTGTTGCTGAGCACATTCATTTGAAATCTAAATTTAAAGAAAAGTCACATATAATTGAAAGTATTTTTCTATTTTTAGCTAAAGTTCTTGAAATTTACCAAGATTCCGAAGCTAACCAAATGAAAGTCACCATGAAATCAACATTTTTTTATGGAATATTGATTTATTCGTGCACATAATCTTTTTATTTATTTCATGTGCCCTCGTTATCTTTAATCAAAATAGCTTGCCCTCCCTCTTGCAGCGACATCCCTCTTGCAGCGACATCTCAATTCTCTGATGATGTGTTTACTGGCGTGAGGGCGGGACAGCCCGTCACACAAATTACATCAACCAATAGCAAACTGCATTCAAATAGCAAATAGCAAACCATTCAATCAATCCTTGATGGATAAAATGAAGTCCCGCCCTACATTTTTTCTTGTTCGAGAAGCCGTTTCACTCAGATATACACTCACCTAAAGGATTATTAGGAACACCATACTAATACCCTTTCACCTTCAGAACTGCCTTAATTCTACATGGCATTGATTCAACAAGGTGCTGAAAGCGTTCTTTAGAAATGTTGGCCCATATTGATAGGATAGCATCTTGCAGTTGATTGAGATTTGTGGGATGCACATCCAGGGCACAAAGCTCCCGTTCCACCACATCCCAAAGATGCTCTATTGGGTTGAGATCTGGTGACTGTGGGGGCCATTTTAGTACAGTGAATTCATTGTCATGTTCAAGAAACCAATTTGAAATGATTCGAGCTTTGTGACATGGTGCATTATCCTGCTGGAAGTAGCCATCAGAGGATGGGTACATGGTGGCCATAAAGGGATGGACATGGTCAGAAACAATGCTCAGGTAGGCCGTGGCATTTAAACGATGCTCAATTGGCACTAAGGGGCCTAAAGTGTGCCAAGAAAACATCCCCCACACCATTACACCACCACCACCACCAGCCTGCACAGTGGTAACAAGGCATGATGGATCCATGTTCTCGTTCTGTTTACGCCAAATTCTGACTCTACCATCTGAATGTCTCAACAGAAATCGAGACTCATCAGACCAGGCAACATTTTTCCAGTCTTCAACTGTCCAATTTTGGTGAGCTCTCGCAAATTGCAGCCTCTTTTTCCTATTTGTAGTGGAGATGAGTGGTACCCGGTGGGGTCTTCTGCTGTTGTAGCCCATCCGCCTCAAGGTTGTGCGTGTTGTGGCTTCACAAATGCTTTGCTGCATACCTCGGTTGTAACGAGTGGTTATTTCAGTCAAAGTTGCTCTTCTATCAGCTTGAATCAGTCGGCCCATTCTCCTCTGACCTCTAGCATCAACAAGGCATTTTCGCCCACAGGACTGCCGCATACTGAATGTTTTTCCCTTTTCACACCATGCTTTGTAAACCCTAGAAATGGTTGTGCGTGAAAATCCCAGCAACTGAGCAGATTGTGAAATACTCAGACCGGCCCGTCTGGCACCAACAACCATGCCACGCTCAAAATTGCTTAAATCACCTTTCTTTCCCATTCTGACATTCAGTTTGGAGTTCAGGAGATTGTCTTGACCAGGACCACACCCCTAAATGCATTGAAGCAACTGCCATGTGATTGGTTGATTAGATAATTGCATTAATGAGAAATTGAACAGGTGTTCCTAATAATCCTTTAGGTGAGTGTACATCACAATAGGGAAGAAAAGTGAAGAAAATTAAGACTTTAAAATGTCAGGCAAAGCATAATTCAGCCATCATTATAAAAGGTAAAATAACTTTCAACCACAATCATACTACTAAGTCAGACATAGAGCAGGTGCTTACACAAGCTGGTAGTAGCTGTGTTTACATGGGCCATCATTTTAATCGGACTAGTAGCGTATTCAGAATAGAAAAGTCACTTGTAGCTATGTCAGTCTGAATGAATTGGCCAAATGCGATTAAAATTTCATTGGGATTGTAAGGGGTGGTTTAAACCTTTTCTAATCCATTCAACAGGATATGTAAACACTTGCTCGGATTGAAAACTGAAACTGGAAAGTACTGTGCATGTGCAATGATGTAGAAATGGCGTAATGATGTATTACACACGGAACGAGCTGCTGTTGTTGTTGAATAAAGTGTCATAATAGTGACTGTTGTGTCATTCTAAAATTCTCCTTCCATTCATCATCTTTAAAGTGGTGCGGGACAACGTCCCACCAGTCCTTGCTTCAAACATTCATCCACAGACGAGTTTTAGGCTCAGGAAGGGATGCTTTTACTGCTTGATAAATAGCTTTAACTAAAAGCGGTGTTTTTTTTAATGCGTTTTGGCCGTTACTACTGATATGCTGTTAATGTGAATCAAACAACAAAAGAAAAACAGACAATCACTCACTGCTCTTGATTGAATAACTTTAGTAGCTTTAATAAGAATACATTTCTTAGTTGAATGCTGCTGTTAAATGCTCTGGCGAGGAGATAAACATGGCGGACGATGTACAGATCACTCAGGACGGGTCTATGCTAATACGGCAGAGTCTATCAACAGTTGTGGGCGGGGCCTGTGCAATGTGACATCATATTGCATAGAAACTGCAAACGGCTTATTCTTATGATTTATGGGGATTAAAAAAAGGAGTGGGTGGATCTTTACCAGTATAGGATGGTTTTGTACACACACTGCCGACACTCATTTATGTTCAAACACCATTTTGCATAATAAGTCCCCTTTAAATCCACCAATAAACATCAGCTAAATCAATTTTACAGATTATGTGAAACTCAGTTATTGAAAACTTAATCAAAATATAGAACAGCCTCATTGCAAAACTGCTTGTCTAGAATATATTTATAAAGCTGAAGTTTCCAATACAAGCTCACTTTCAAAAGGCCTTTTTGTCTTGGTGAACATGTTGAAGTGAAACTTCTTCTTTTTTTTTTTTTCTTTTTTTTTGTGAGAGAGTTTTGATCATGTGATGTGGTCCAGGCAGTGTTTTCACCTATCCTGGACTTATGGCCTTCAAAGTGTTTGTATGCGGGCATAAGTCTTATCTCTCTGATCCTCATCTGCAGTCGACCCTTATGTCCCCTCCGTCTTACCTCAAAATGACACATTTTTTGGAAAGCTGTTCAAGTCTTGATTGATTAAAACGTCTCCTTAGATAATATTGCATTGACAGTAAGAAGGATTGTGACATCTGTTCAAGGGAGGAGGATTTGGTATTGTGCAGACTGACGTATTTCTCTCTTGATCCCTCTGTTACATTCCCCTCTCTTCGCCATTCTTCTCACTTATTTTCAAGTATCTCATGTTTCTCCTAAAATTGCACAGAAGAAATTGAAAATAGAAATAAATGAGACAATAGTTGATCTGTATTGTTGACAGTAAAGCGTACAGATTCAGAACTAGATTTACATTTAACATTTTTCTGAAGAAAATGTAAAATTTACCACCACAATTCTAGGCAAATACAAAATAAATGTGTTTGGTTGCCAGGGTGTTGCTATGCACTTGTTAAAGTATTTTGAGTAATTTTGTTGTGGCATGTTGCTGTATGTTTGCAAGGGTGTAATGGGTAGTTGCAATGGCATTTCAATGCAGTTCAAGTGTTTTTAGCAAGTTGCTATATGGTTTCCAACCCTTACAAAAAAAGGTTATTCAAGTTTGCTATTTGCTATTCTTTTATACTAAGTATATACTTTCAGTCTACTCTTTATGTACTTCTCAAAAATATACTGTATGTACATCTCAGAAATATACTGAAAATTACACTTGACTTATACTGACAGAAAAGTCTAAGTATATTTGGCCTATACTTGTACTCAGTCTTTTGATCGAGATATACTTAAAAGTATATTTAAGAATTATCCGCTCGATGAGAAGGTTTTTTTCAAATACGCTGGAGAGGAAAGAGTGAAGGTACAGTTAAAGGTATATTTCAAGTATAATTTTTAGTATATTTCTGAGATGTACATACAGTATATTTTTGAGAAGTACATAAAGAGTAGACTGAAAGTATACTTTCTTGTTTTTAGTTTAAGCATACTAATAGCACACTTGAATAAACTTTTTTTGTAAGGGTTGGTATTTTTTTTTTGGTATTTATAAATACAACTTTTTTTTTGTATTTATTCAAAATAAGGACCTACTCAAGAGAGTATGCAATTTCGGTCACAGCATCACACTTAAAGTATGCATTACTAAAAGTGAGCCAATTTAGTCCCAACCAAGTATTGAAATAGTACACTTACAAGTAGACTACTAGTACATCGATATTAGTATACTTACTATATAAAGTATACTAATTTATTTTTTAAAGTTTTATACTCTTTAAGTATAAAAATGTACTTAAGTATACTTGGAAAAAATAAATATAGTTCAAGTTAATTTGATTAAGGGAAGGAGTTGTGGAAAGTCGCCAGAGCATTACGATTGCTAGTGTATAATAGGTTTCCAGGGCATTTCTATCCAGTGTTTTTTTTTTTTTTTTTTGCATGTTGCTATATGGTTGCTAGGACATTATTTACCTCAATTTGCTCCCTATTTAATCTTATTGATGTTTACGAGAAACAATTATTTTCTCGTATTATTTCTTTTGCGGAGGTGGTTTCAAACAATCAGAGATGGACTGGTAATCTCCAGCAGTATTTACTCACGAGAGGTTATTAACCAGGACAGTGACTTCTGTCTCTCTTTCGCCTCTGCTTAAATCACGTGACGTTGCCCTCCCCCACTTAATACCCTCTCTCAACTCTTCTAAATCAATTACATCATCCTATCATCTGCTGTGTTGCCTGTCTGCAAGAGTCAGACAAACAGGCAGATAAAAAGATAACAAGAACACATATTCACTTGACGTGGACCTCTTGCTCTTTAGAGACAGAGATCCAGCCACAAACATTTTCTGCTGCCACAGGATTTCCCGGCTGATCTGACATGATTGAGCGGGTGTAATCTTGTCAACAGGTAATGACAGGAAATTGAGATTGGAGAGTATTTCTAGAAAAGCTGTAGAAAGTGTCGAGATGCCCCCCTGTGGTTTTAAAAAGGCTTTGCATGTTATTGTGTCGTCTTACGTGACTCTGAAATACTTGATACTGATTGGTCCATTGTGGCATTCTACAGTCAGATGTTTTTCTAAATTGTGTAAATGACTTATGTCCCAGAAACCCGATTAGCCTGCTAGTATTATTGATTTAAATCCACTTTTCACTAGTCAATAATTAAAGGGGAAGCGTATAGTTTTCTTTTTTTCTTTTTTCTTTTTTGCAATATAGTCTCTCCTATTCCAGCATGATGTGAAAAGACATCTTTAAGTAAGCCACTGGTAGTTTGAGTTCCCAAAATGTGTAAACAGTTTGGCTATTTGAAAACATTGCCCCAATTGTTTGAACTAAGAGGTTAAGGTTCAGCTAGTTGGCATGATCCAGTTTAAACCTACTGGTAGAAGCTGTTACAGCAACATTAGGAGCATATTAAAAATCATTCAAATAAAGAGCATCTTTCTTAACTGACACTGAACCTAAACAGCTGTTTATTTATTCTGACAAAATAAATAATTTTAACTAATAATTTTAAAATAATTAACTATTTGTATTATATATATATATATAGTAAATAAGATTAAAGTAAATAATAATAAAGTATACACACATTATTTATATAAAATATTGGATGTAAAACATTTTGGTTGCTTTACAAAAAGGTTTCACTTGTTAACGTTAGTTAACTACATTAGTTTACATTAACTAACAATGAACAATACTTGTACAACATTTGTATTTTAACATTAATTAATTGCACTGTGAACTAACATGTACATGAATATTGTTAACAAAGGTTAATAAATCGTATAATAATATTGTTCATTGTTAGTTTGTGTTAGTTAATACATTAACTAATGTTAACAAATGAAACCTTATTGTAAAGTGCCAGTATTTTAAACAATATTTGTTATAATATATAAAATATTATAAATGAAATATCTCTGTGTTTCAACTGGTCAACGTGGCTCACCCAATTGCTTGGGGCGAAGCTACCTGATTATTTGAACTATGACATACAGTGTAGGAGGAAAGATATTGTTTTTGCAATTCTATTTCATGCCAGTAATGATGCAGAAATCACACACCTTCTCCTCTTCCTCATCCCTTCAGGACACCTCAGGCATTCCCATGCACTTCTGGGGAGTGTTTGATGGACACGCTGGCTCTGGCGCTGCTCTCATGGCGTCCAAACTTCTCCACCGTATCATCCGTGATCGGCTTTGCGATGTCGCCCATCTTCTAGAAAATCAAAACAGCCCTCCGCCTATCTGCCTGGCCAAGAACGGGAGCCCCTTCCAGGCTGAGGCGAAGAAAGGGGCCTGCCTAGATGGAGAGGACCAGGACGGGCCCCCGGATGAGCCGCGGTTCCACATGGAGAAAGACATCAGTGTGGAGAGTCTGGTCATGGGCATCATAGAGACCGCCTTCAAACAGATGGTGAGAACTGTAAGGGATAAGATAGACCTGTGTCTATCACATAGTCTTTTTTGTCTATGGAGGACTAGATGTGCCACTTAAAAAGAAAATAATAATCAATGTATTCAAAAATACAAATTTAAATAAGTAAATCACTTTACAAATTGAAAAATATTTAAAACAATTTATTTAATGATGTTCAAACGTTTTTAGATGTAACAAATGTTAAATTTATATATAATTTTAACTGCAAAATGTGCATTATTATAAAGCATTTGGCAACTATTTTTTCTTTATCCTTTTGCTAGTTGAGTTAATGCTATTGGACAGTTCAAACTTGTGAGCAGCCAATTTATTTTAAAGGGGTCCTATTGTGCCTTTTTACATTTTCAGCTTTCTTTAGTGTGTGATGCTGCTGTTTAAACATGAAAAATGTCTTACATTGGGGACACCTTGCTGAGTTGCGTTAGTAGTGTGTTGAAACAACTTGCGATTATGGTAAGGGCTGTGACATTTCTGAAACACACTCGAAGCAGTTGACTAATCACAATGCACTGGTCCAGCCGACCAATCAGTGCGCAATGTGCTTTTCAGAAGGAGGGGCGGAGGCTTGCAGTCCTCCTCAGCATTAAATGCTAGAATGAGACGGTCTAGTATAGTGTGTAGGGCTACGTCATAAATGTTTCCGCCCCGTGGTCATGACGCAAAAATACTAATAAAATTATAATTTGAAAAATACTTTTTGATCACCCTTTGATCTCCCAGTGGTTTACATAATGCACAGTTTAGCATTATGTAATTAATTTACAACAAAACAAAATAAAACATAATACCTTTATCCAAACCCCCCCCCCCCCCAACATCCATGTTTTACTGGCACGAATAAGACTGGGCATTATACATAGAATTCAGATTTTCAGAATGTGATTTTGCTGAATGTTGTGCAGATGTATGCATTGCAAACAGAAGAAAATACCCAGTCTGTGTTGTGCCACTCAACAGGACGACCTGATCGAGAAGGAGAAAGAATCTTACAGTATCTCTGGTGGCTGTTGTGCCTTGATTGCAATTCACTTGATGGGGAAACTCTATGTAGCAAACGCAGGAGACAGCAGGTAAGATGCCTTTAAAAAACTTACAGTGATTAAATGTGCATGTTATATGAGCAGGCTAACAGAAGATGGTCTTTATCTTTAGATAAAAGAAGGAAATGTACAATTGTACAAATGTACAACCAAAATAATTTGGTTCGACTAGGGTTAAACATCGACCCTAATCTTGACAAGATGCATTGACTTTAAAGCTGTGAACTTTCATTTCATAAGAGTTTAGTGAGTGTAATGTCATTTTTATATTTTTTATAAAAGGCCATTGTATTATATTTGCCACAGTAAACTGATTTTTATAATGAAAGTTGGAGGAAATTGTTATTGCTTGAAATGAAAAGATTACATAAATTTGTCTCTAAGGAGAAACAGTAAAATCCATGTTAATTTTGCAAAGATGTTACCCTGCTTGGATGTTTCCAATTGACTCAATTTCTGTGACAGTTACCCATCATGATCATCTTGGGGATTTTAGCAATAAATGAGAAATATCAAAATAATGCAAATCACTTGCTATTTACCATCCAGTGTTTCTGTAGGTTGTATAATACATAATACAATCACCTAAAATAATATTATTTCCACACAGAGCCATAATTGTCCACAACAATGAGGTCATCCCAATGTCCAATGAATTCACACCAGAAAGTGAAAGACAACGCCTACAGTACCTGGTGAGTCACCTGTGTTATTGTCCCAATAGATTTCCCATTGTAAATCCTGTTCATTCATTATCCTGCGTGACTGCTCCTCCATTACTATTTTAGATCTTCAGTTCTGTAACACTTCCATCATGTTTGTGTTGCTTTTGTCTAGGGCTTCCTCAAACCGGAGCTGCTTGGGAACGAGTTTACACATATTGAATTCCCCAGACGCATCCAACACAAGGAACTCGGCAAGAAGATGCTCTACAGAGACCACACAATGACTGGCTGGTATTATGAACCACACATATGAGGATGAGAATGAATTATACCAGCAGCTGTTTTACCAAACTATATTTTGATATGTACTGTATATATTCAAGTCTTTCACTTTATCGCATTCATAACCATTACCTGTTATTATTTCAGGGCATATAAGACAATTGTAGAAGATGATCTCAAGTTCCCGTTGATTTATGGGGAGGGGAAAAAGGTAAGCGAATAATTCTGCTTCTTTTCTATTTAACTTTTATTTAAAGGTGCTCTACGTAACTTTTAGCGACCTCTAGTGGTGATGTTTCAGATTGCAACCAAATTTTACAAGAGCGCTCGTGCTCGAACTCATAGACAATACCGTCTATTACGCAAATATCTCGGCGAATACTTGACGGATTCGGCGAGCACCGAGCTCGTTGGGACCATCTAGTCGAGCTGAAAAGAACCATATAAGTTCCATAGTTTTTGGTGGTGTTTTCGCGGAGATATTAGCAGAAAACCATCGGGCGCGCTGCAAAATTGCGGACGCCGGTGACGTCACGATCTCAGAAGAAAATCGCTCGTATCTCTGGAACGCAAAGACCCAGAGAGCTCAAATTCGGGGGAGGAGGTCCCAGGGGAACCCTTGCCCGAACGCTAGAGTGGCGGGCCTAGGGGATGCCCCCTACCGGATCGCCGTTCGCTGGGACCCCCGATTTCGAACGGCTATAACTCGGGGAGCCGGGCGAGTTGGACCTCGGGGGTGGGCTCGTTCGAAAGGCCCCGTCCAGCACTACGAACGATTAGAGTCTTGGGAATATTGATCAAAGATTGACTGAGATATAAGCCGAGAAACGTGCGCCTTTAACCGGACGTAACTCCCTGACCGTCTACAATAGACTGTATATAAGGAGAGAGGCTCGGGAGCGCGCATGCACGTCACATCCGTTGGATTTCGCGGTAAATCTGACCCGGAGACTTCACATAGAAATAGGAATACTGACCTTCAGAGGTAATAGCAAAACTCGACAAGTGGATCATTTTAATGTGTGATTACAACCCCTTCACACACAGGCAATAAAAAAAGGATTCATTTTAGTAGAAAAGTTACATGGAGCACCTTTAACTTGAATAGGTTCTGTAAATGGATTTTATTCTAAGCTGCATAGCAGTAACATTTTTTACAGACGTAACATATAATCTAATGAAGGTGTCTGAAGCTTTTTCCATACAGTTTTCACAGCCATTTATTACAAAGCAGGAGTAGTGAGGTGTTGCAAATGGGAATTGCAATAATGTTCTGCCAGATGTAGGGCATAATAATGTCTTGTTTGATAAAGTTTGTATGTATATAAAATAACCCTTTTGCTGTAATGGCACATAAATGTGTGTGTGTGTGTGTGTGTGTGTGGTTCAGGTATATCCTACATTATGGGGACAAAATGTACCCACAAGGAAGGCAATACCAGACATTTTCTGAGGAAAACAGCTTATAAATCATACAGAATGTTTGTTTGAATGTTGTTAAACATGAAAACCCAACTGTGTGTGTGTGCTCGTAGGCTCGAGTCATGGCTACTATTGGAGTAACGCGTGGTTTAGGGGATCACGACTTGAAAGTGTACAACTCCAACATTCATATCAAACCCTTCCTATCCTGTTGCCCAGAAGTGAGTATATAAATGGGTATTTATGTGAAAATATCTGCAAAGCCATTTATTCTTCTTGATTTAAGTGGCCAGTACACCCTCCAAGAAATGTTTTTTGTGTACATTTAAAAAATACGGCATATTATGAAGCATAACTGCATGAAAATAGAATAATATTATGCTCTCATCTAGGTCAAGGTGTACAACATCTCTGAGCACAAACATGGGTCTAACGATGTCCTGGTCATGGGTAGTGATGGACTGTGGGACGTTACAACTGATAGAGATGTTGCGGAGGCAGTGTCAACTTTCCTGTCTGGCCGTGAGCCCAATGATCCCATGAGGTGAGCGTTTGATCTACATCATAACTGACCTGATCACAGGTAGAGCCTGGAGATCACTTCATTTCGCCATAATGAAGCGCACACATTTGATTTTCCCACACATTCACAAAATTGAAAGGCAAATAATAAAATGCAACTAACACCACTGTTCAAAAGGTTTGAGGTTAGTAAGATTTTAATGCTTTTGAAAGAAGTCTCTTATGCTCACCGAGGCTGCATTTATTTGATCAAAAATATGGTAAAAACCTAGCCTGGATGCCAGCCCGAACCCCGCCCACAACATTTTTTGGTCGGGAAGTTCGGTCTGGACTCGATCCATTGAGGAGTAATTATGATCGGTTCAGAATTAGTCGGGCCAATCAAATTGCCAGGGCGGGCTTTATACGATGATGGACAGATGATCTGCAGTTACGTAATCCTCACGTTATCAAAGAGCGCTTGGGTTGAACTGGTTTCCCTCAGAGATGACTTCAGCTGGAGAACTGAGATGTATAGATTCCGCTATCGCGTCTGTTGTAAAAGAAATCGACAGCGCATTCATTTTAAAAGATGAACAGAGAACTGCAATCAAGGCATTTGTCGATCGGAAAGATGTGTTTGCCGTCCTTCCTACGGGATTCGGCAAAAGTTTATTTTATCAGCTGGCTCCGATGGTCGCTAAGAAGATTGGACGCAATGAAAACCCTGTGGTCGTTGTGGTTTCTCCTTTGGTCGCACTCATGGAGGACCAAGTAAAAGAAGCAACACTCATTATTTTACTACTTCTTCCAGTGTGCGTGTAGTTGAGTTCTGTTGACAACTTTGCGTAGCTCATAAAAAAAAAAACACTTACTGCGTTGCTCTGATTGGTTGTAGGTCTATCCAATTGAGTGCAGAGTTGTTGTTTTTCCTGGTTCGGTTAAGACACGCCTCATAATCAAAGCTCTATGGAGCAGTATCAGACTCACATTCTGACTAGAATATGAGTATGACGAAGTCAGGCTAGTAAAAACTGTAATATTATATATAATCATATGTAATATTACAATTTAAAATAGCTGTTTTCTATTTTACAGTTTTTCTCAATTGCTAAAACACAATTTCTGAATCCTTGCTCCTTTTTCTGAAAACATTAAACACAAAACCTCATCTTCAAGCACTATTTACAAAACCTCTGACTCTTCTTGCAAAATGTAACTTTCGCCTCAAAACAGTTTTACTTGTGTTCAAAATCAAACACTGCTCTCAAATCATAGACAAAGTGATCAAAATGATAAACACTATCAAGCAGTCAGTAAACAATACACCAAAAAATAGAAAACACATTGTTCAAAACATACAGTTCTCGAAAGATATCTACGGACAGCTATTCTGTTTGTAGACTTACCCGTGACACATTACTGTACCTTCAAAAGTTCAGGGAGAAATCCATTTTTAATCTTAAAACAAATTTCATATTTGTCCGTCATTGTCTTTTGATGAATGAAAACATCATAGTAGCGTAAAATTGATCAGAAATGACTACTCTGCTTTGCTCTTTGCAATTTTATTTGTTCTTCCTCCTCCTTGTACCCCTATTTGTACAGTACAGTGCCCTGCATCTCACAAACTTCTCCTTTGTCAGTTCTATTGTTTGATACTGTAATTCTTGTTCTTTCTTGATATGAACCTGCAACCAGTAAAATCTATTGAGCATTCAGTACTGTAACAAATGCTACTGTTACAGTAACGATGTTTGGGGCCATTTAATTTGTTAATTGTACAGTATACAGCCTACAATGCACTGTACTACAGTATACAATACTAAAAGGGACAAAAATCAAAGGAGTAAACGTGATCAGTGTGCTTCTTCTTGTCTTTGGGCATCATTTGAAACAGGTTAAATCAATTTTGACTGGTTGTGTTCAATCAATGACATGTGTTCTCTATTTGTATTTGATCATTGCCACTTGTGTTTACCAGTATGGATGACGTGTGCATTACAGTGCAGAATATGTTTTGAGAATGAAAATGTGTTTAGCGTTTTGCTGAAAAGTCTAAGTAAGATCTGCAAATTGTGTTTTGCCATGTGAAATAGTTTAAGGTATTGACAACAGACTGCACAATTAGCTAAATGAGTTCAGGCAACTGAGAACTTTGTTCAGCCAATGGGTTTTAGTGTTTTAGCAATTGAGAAAAACTGTAATATAACTTCAAATGTAATTTATTCCTGTGATGTAAAGCTGAATTTTCAGCATCATTACAGTCTTCAGTGTCACATGATCCCTCAGAAATCATTCTAATATGCTGATTTGCTGAGGATCAGGTGCGGATCAGGTGTGTTGTAGTAGTTACACCAGCAGATGTCAGTATACAGTTTGTCATGACTAAGGCCCTCTATGGTCATTTTTAATTTACTTTAATGTTCAAATGATGATGTCATGTTTGTCATTTTATGCTTTTAAAGGTACACTCTAGCAGCACAAGACCTCCTGATGCGGTCGCGTGGAGTCCTGAAGGAGCGAGGTTGGCGGCTGCCCAATGAAAGACTTGGCTCGGGTGATGACATCACCTCGTTTGTCATTCCATTGGCCGGGGCAGAGTTAGAAACATGACCAGGTTGGTCCACCTTCACTGGACAAGCACAGCAGGACACGTCCTTGGCTCCATCCCAGAGAAAGGGCTAGGAAAACCAAGAAATCCATTTTCAATCTGTCAGATGGCTCGGATGCGAGAGACGTTAAATGCAACTTTCCCTTGTCCTCCTTTTCCTCGTCCGAGTCGTACCATGAATATCGTCAAGCCCATGTCAGGTGTGAGGTGACGTCATCAAGTGCCATTCCTCTCGCTCTCCATCTCCTTTCTGATTTGTCGAACGCAAACCTCCGCAAGTTAGTACGGGACTGGAGGGCTCATAATGTTTGGGTATTCTTTAACACCAGTGGGTCATTTAAATCTGAATCTCAGTGTGGCAAAGGAATAAGCCAATACTGCTTAAACATCAACGCCCTGATGGCAAGGGAAATAAAAACGAAGCACTTTATATGTAGCAGAATCCATTTGAGCTGTAATTTAAACTGCTGATTATATTTCCTAACTGTTCTGTCTCCAAAGAATGTTTCTGTTGACTGAATTTAAAGGGATAGTTCACCCAAAAAAGAAAATACTGTCATTACTTACTCACCCTCATGTTGTTCCAAACCTGTAAGACTTTCGTTCATCTTCTGAACACAAATGAAGATCTTTTTGATGAAATCTGAGAGCTTTCTGTCCCTTTATTGACAGCAATAAAGAGATCGTAAAACTAATCCATATGAATTGAGCGGTTTAGTCCAAAATTTTCTGAAGAGACTTGATCGCTTTTTATGATGAACAGATTTAATTCAGACATTTATTCACATATAAACATTCTTCAGAAAATTTGGACTAAACCGCTCAATTCATATGGATTAGTTTTAAGATCTCTAAGAAGTTTTTGAAGCGTCAAAGTGGTAGTTGCGTAGCTGTCAATGGAGAGACAAAAAAGCTCTCAGATTTCATCAAAAAGATCTTCATTTGTTTTCAGAAGATGAAAGAAACTTGTACGGCTTTGGAACGACGTGGGAATTTTACAGAATTTAAATTTTTGGGAGAACTATTGCTTTAAGGTTTTCTATAGCAAGATGCAATCAAACTACAAAAAACAGTGGGCATTTCCTGTGAATGCATAGTTTTTTTGTTCATCTCGGCTGTTTCGGGTTCAGTCAGGCATAGTTTTAAATGGACCCAATGCAAATGTCTATATTCTGGAACAAGTATTAATCACACTTCTGTAAAACTAGTTGAACAAAGCTCATTTCCCCTACATCGGTACAAATATCTACATGTACAAATAATATGTACAAATAATCTAAAACATCATTGACATGCACCAGGCTTTCTATACCCAAATGAACTGATTGCTTGAACTGCTGAATGACCTGTTTATTTTGCTGTAGATAAAACCTCATTTGGTCTGAAACTGTGTCAGTAAAGAATCACAAATCAAACAATGTAGATCCAAACCTGAAACTGAGAAACCTGAACTTAGTCATTGGTCTTTTTGTACACCTTGAATGTACCTTATTTCCTTTACTCGATGTCAGTGTTGTGTCTGTGTAGTATAGTACATATATAAATTGATTTATGCCTTTCAAATGATGATTCATTGTCAAAGGAGCTATCTTTGCAAATTATGTGACTAATTCTAAATAAATCTATCCTTTTTATAATGACCCTGTTGTTATTTTTTTTGTGCTACATTAATTTGCTCTATTGTGCATGAGAAATGAGTGTTACTGGTGTTAATGGTTTATGATGTGCTTTTTATTTGTGCTACCACTGCACCCTGCTGTGGCGGGACAATTGCAGCTATTTACAGATACTTATTAAGACTATAATAAGGATTATAAAACATGCTGTTCCAGATAGTGACCACGGGTGAACATGATTTCACCAAGTACAATGGGTTCCTGGGTCAAAATCTTTGTTGATCCCGGAACAACATTCCAATCAACCAATCAGATTTGGGACAAGTTTACAGTTTATGGCAAGTTTAGGCTTATTTACAACCACGGTTAGAGGTGCTTCTACATCAGTGTTATTCATCCATCATTTCCCTCTGATTTTAGGGATAATTTATGGGTAGGGTTAGGTTTAGGGGTAGGGTTAGGATTACATTTTCAGATAGGAATGTTGTTCCATGGTCAACAAAATATGTTGATCCAGGAACATGTCTTAATTGGCTGTAAATAAATTCACTTTGACCTAGTGACCACGGTCATCTAATTCAGACGTATGAAAACATGTTTTTGAAAGTCTCTTATTCTCAACAAGGTTGCATTTATTTGGTCAAAAGTACAGTAAAAACAACAATATTTTGAAATATTATTACAGGTGAAAATGACTATTTTCTATTTTAATATAACTGTCTTAAAATGATTTTTTTTTCTGAGGCAAAGCTGAATTTTCAGCATTATTCTTCCAATCTTCAGTGTCACACGATTCTTCAGGAATCATCATTTGCTTCTCAAGATTTCTTATAATTATCAATGCTGAAAAAAGATGCAGAAACCTTGATGAAGGAAACCTATTGATGAATACAAAGTTGGAAAGAACAGCATTTATTTGAAATAGAAATCTTTTGTTACATTATTGAGGTATTTTTATGGTTACTTTCGATATTTTAAATAAAATATTATTTTATAATATATGTCACAATAGAATAATTATGTCACAATGGAACTGTCTATTATAGACTTTTCAGCACAATTTAAATAGTGAAACAATTATGACATACAGCAATTTGGTCATGAAATATTGATATAATCATTTATCACATTTAAAACTCATGTGAAACTCAACTTCCCTTTGCTTTCATGAAAAGTATTTTTGTTCTGGAAAGAATTCGATTACATCCTAATTATACGGTTCTTATCTTGTCCCGAGGTTTTATTGTGCTCACTTATAAAATATGCTGATCATAGCATAGGAACCAGGCAACACAGCAGCTTGATTTAGTGGTCTGTGTGGTGAACGACACCGGGCAGCTTCTCTCCAGTGCACAGCTTCAGAAGAATGATGTCATTCTTCTCGGTGTCGGAGGGAGGGACCGCAGTGATCCTCCTCAGTCCTCAGAGCCGAACCGCCTCCTTCACCAGAGTCAACATCCAGCAGCGCAGCGCTCGACACTGATTCACATTAATGCGGGCGGGTCTTCTGTGAGTCGAGCTTCGTCTCTCAGCAATAACAACGTGAAATTTCTCCACATTGCGCCTAAAACTCGGACACGCTATCGACCGGGAATATAACCCCCGCGAGGATATAAGGTATTTATGTTTTCATTTTGTGTACATGACATCTTTACTTGACATGTCGGACTTTAGGAATTTTGGTAGAAAACAAGTTTGCTGAGGCGGTGTGGGAAAAGTAGGTGGTGGCTCGTGAACTGCGAGCTGCGATAGTTCTCATACAAGCTCGTTTATGTTTTTAACCGCTCACGGTTACGTGGGAATTATGTCAAATTTAACGTTATAGTTTAAAGATTAGATAGTGTGACTGACCCATACTAAACAGTGAGAATCCACATTTAGAGTTCTATAGAGTGTATTAAAAATGATACAAAACACATTTGCGAATCATAAAGCTCCGCGTGAGTTTTGGATATATTCTTGCGAACTAATTAATTGCTCGCGTTTCGAGTCGTGCGGAAATCAGTTTCCTTCAGTCATACAAGGGCGTTGCAGTCGACAGCGCTTCAGTTGAGTTCAAAACTTTTCCCCTAAACCCAGCCGAGCGACTAACTAACCTGTTGTTCCACCGAAGAGAGTCTGTCTGCTTATCTATACAAGCACTGCCGTCTTTAAATTTGCCTTAGGCCAAAGGCTGTGTTCTGTGGCAACCAAATGCTTGGATAAGACTTAAGACAGGCCTGATCTTTAATCCTTGAGGTGTTGTAGGCCATTTTACACTCCTAGCCTTGAGTTCATATCCTGTGAGAAACATTTCATAGCTCATAGCTACACAGATTTCAGTATTTTGTATGATATATGAGGGAAAACTGTTGTTTGTGTCAGCACAGTGTTCCCATGGTTCTGGAAAGTGGAATTCCTAGAAATGTTAGGGAATGTCAAAAGTGTGTGTTTTTTTCCTTCCAGGCCTGGGAAATTTATCATGGAAATTAGTGAAGTCGTAAAAGGATTTGGAAATTTCTATAGTCTATGCTCAGTTTTTTTTTTTTTTGACTTGAAATGACCTTTTAATAATCATCTAGTCATCAGCTGGATATTCTTTGGTCGGAAAGAGGGTTGTAATCTCACTTTATCAGTAATATGATATTGGTAACACTTTACAATAAGGACTCATTTATTAACATTAGTTAAAGTATTAACTAACATGAAATAACAATGAGCAATACAGTTTGTATACAGCTGTTCATTGATAGGCTAGTTCGTTTTAGTTCACAGTGCATTAACTAATATTAACAAATACATCTGATTTTAATCATGTATTAGTAAATGTTGAAATTAACATTACGATTAATAAATGCCGTAGAAGTATTTGTTATTTCTTAGTTCATGAAAAGGGTAATTTTTATTACAAAATAAAATAGCATGGGCATGAACTAATGTTTCAAAATGTGGTTGATTCTAAAACATAAGTGTATTTTACACAGGTTTTGTTATACACAACTTTTTATTTTTCCGTAAGTTGCTAATATGCAATGGTTGTCCTAGTCAAGCATGTAAACCCACATCCTTGTTAGTTGTAGTCCTTATTCAACTTGTTAAAAAATAAAATGCAATGGCTTTGAAATTGATGTTTAGGTTTTGACTTAGCGTATTTAAGGTTGTAGGACCAAAAACATCAAAGTCCTGTCAACGTCTTATAATGTCAACGCCAGACCTTCGTTTGAACTAAACTGAAAAATGCCATTCTAACAACCTAAACAAATTCAACCGAACACAGATTACAAATTGAACTGAACAGGTCCTTTAGAAAAATGCTGTTTAAAATACTTTTAGACATGTAGAGGCCAATTGACGCATATGTAAGACATAATGTCTGCCACAAGTGGAATTAAAAGGCTATTAACCAGGCCTGTCGGGAAATGACAAGAACTGAGCGGCGCCTAAATCCAAAGCTTATTAACTGTTGGTTTCCACCTTCTGTCTGTTTATTGCTTTTCTGATTATTAAATACATTTTGAATTTGTAGAGAGAGGAAGAAGTTGTATCATGCTGCTGAACTACTGATTGAAGACTGAATGATTTAAGACTTATAATGTATCAAATATATGCAATAAAAATGCACATGTTTGATGGTAAAACTTGTTGCTGTTTTGTGCAAAAATAAATCCAAATCTTGAACAACCCTTCTCATGTAATAGTTTGGTGCAATAACGTCACTTGGAGTCTGACCCCAGACTAAGATTAATGAGCTAATATGGATTAGGTTTGCTGAAAATGAAAATTGACTGGTTTCAGACCAGCTCAGCATTACAAACTGCTCCCAGAATTCTCAGTGTGCTTCCTGTTGCATTAAGCCTCTGGCTGCTTTTGTCAACCTGCCATCTGGTGAACTTTGCCACACTTTTCAAATATTTTCCTGCAGCAGAAATGCATTTAAGGTCTACAACACCTAAGGCTCATTCACCATTTTTTTTTTTTTTTGAGCGACCATGTGGCGTCTTGTCACATCACATGACAGGACACATTGTCAAAACTTTTTAAGATAAGACAGACACTAGTTAGACCAAATTACAGAGTAGTGTTCTGAGACTTGAAATGAATCAAAATATAGAAGGTTTACATTTGAAAACTTGGACTGTGAATACAGAGAGAGGTTCTTCTACTACACACTCTGATGGACAAGAGGAAGTCAAAACAGGACAAAGACGTTATCACTGTTTACTTAAACCAGATCTCTCCAGTTTATTATCTTCTGCATTGATGAGGTGTTCATGAGGTCATTGTATCGCTTGCAGCGTCATATGAAATTAGTCAGTTTCTGTCCCTCATGTCACAAACAAACGTGATTTCATTTTCTTTTGGTGGCTTCATTCTCAAAAAAGGATTTATGTATTTGAATTGCATATCAAATTTTCTATCCAATTGGATTACAGGTTAACGTAAACTAATAAACTTAATGTGATGCACATTTTCTGAGTTTGAGATTTGTTTTTACTTGGTATGCATGTAAAGTTTGATAATACGTTTTAAAATTAAAGTTGGCTTGAAACGGAAGTTGCAATAGTCTTTTCTTCCGATGTATATCTGAGTCAAACAGCTTCTCGATCAAAAATAAATAAATGTAGGACGGCACTTGATTTTGTCTATTGGGAATTGATTGGATGGTTGTGGTGTGCCATTGGTCGATCTCATATGAGTGACAGGTTGTCCCGCCCTCACGCCAGTAAACATCATCAGAGAAGAGAAGTCGCTGCTAGAGGGAGGGGAAGTTACTTTGATTAAAGATTATGAGGGCACATGCATTTAAAAAAAGTAATGACATGCATGGATAAATCATTTATATAAATACTGCAAAATTCCATAAAAAAACAAGTTGTCAGTTTTGATTTCATGGTGATTTTAAGTGTGAGTTATGGCAAAAAAAATGTAGGAGATTATTTAGTTGATTTCTCTTTTGTTACGTTACACCAGCAAGAGTCAAATTGTCATTCTTACTGTAGTATTAAATGTTCCTAATAAAATTATCGGCCAACTGTCAAGTACTTCAGTTTCATTTATTCTTTTCACACATTAGTTTTGGACTTTGAACGGTAAACTCCTACAAACACATTGTTTGGAGACCTTTCAAGTGTTGGCATTTGTATTTGAGAACTTTGCTCTGGTTGTGTAACCTTATAACCTTACTTTAGGCCAGGGTTCCTCAAATCCATCCCTGGATCCATCCACTGTCCTGCAGAGTTTAGCTCAAACTATGATCAAACTCACTCACCTACAATTTTCTAGTAACTCTGAAGACCTTGACTAGCTTGTTCAGGTGTGTTTAATTAGGGTTGGAACTAAACTCTTCAGGACAGTGGCCCTCCAGGATCGTATTTAAGGAACCATGGGGAAATAGATTTGTAAACTGTCTATTAAAGGAAAGGGTTAGTTCACCCAAAAATGAGAATGAGAACCAATGAGGTTCATTCTTGTGTGTTACGCAGCACAAAATGAGAATGAGTGTTATGCAGCCAGCACGATGGAGCTTCTGTTCCAGTAAGGTTAAAAAAAACATTTAGTCAAACATTTTTATTCTGTCTTTTGGCAAAACTTTTTGTTTTGTGATTTCCATGAACAGCTTAAAAGCAGCCTAAACAACACTATCATTTTCCTATGGTTTTAACAAAAATAACACCGCAAAAACAACTGGATTTAAATTTCAAACATTATTAAAGACATGTAAACAGTAATATAATCAAAACAAATTAGCAATAGCACAAATAAATACAACTGAACAAAGTTCAGGTACAGAAATTGTAATCAAATGTAAAATAACACTGCATAGTTTACTTTTTATAAGTAAAATATAGATTAATCCTTATTAAAGCTACAAAAGTTATTCAGTGAAGATAAGTGAGTGATTTGTATCTTTTTCTTTTCTTCTTTAATTAACATTAATGACACAGACGTGAGCAGGTTTATTAGGCTGCTGTCACTTTAAGGTGTCACGCTTGATCCCATATACTGTTACACATGCGTTTTCTTTCTCAACTGTTTACTTTCACTTAGGACAAAATCGACTGTGTTTACAAAGATATTTTGGCATGATTTTATGTGCATTTGTGCATTCAAGCACAAGAAGTATTGCGCACTACATGAGAGACGGCTCTATGTGCACACTTTGGATGTGTGTGCAAAGAAAACCGCTCACGGTGCAAGTACCAAATTGAGTTTTCTTTTGTGTCTTATTGTGCTTGAATATGGTTTGAAATCACATTAAAATGTGCACACTGACCTAAGTATCTGATTCCAGAATTGGAATCCATTTTTGATTCCCAACCTTAGAATGGAGTGACAGAAATTTCATTAAAAATATCTTCATTTGTGCTTCAAAGATGAACGCAAGTCTTACGGGTTTGGAACAACACGAGGGAGAGTAATCGATGACAACCTTTTAATTTTTGGGTGAATTAACCCTTTTACTGCAATAATACACTCACCTAAAGGATTATTAGGAACACCTGTTCAATTTCTCATTAATGCAATTATCGAATCAACCAATCACATGGCAGTTCAATGCATTTAGGGGTGTGGTCCTAGTCAAGACAATCTCCTGAACTCCAATCTGAATGTCAGAATGGGAAAGAAAGGTGATTTAA